AAAAACGTCTTTTAAAAAAATAATTTTAAGAAAAATCAATTTTTTAAGACAAAAATTGGTCTACGTTTTCCAAAGATTCGATTAAAACGGGTTCGGGAGTCGGTTACACGTGGGGAAGGATTAGCACCCCACAATGCCCAAAATTAATACTGTGTTGTTTACACGGTGTCGTAATGGTGGAATTTATGAGTCAAATATAAAGTTAAAATATGATCCGTTTATTGAGTATTGATTAATTTACTTCAACTAAAATTAATTAGAGAAAATCATTTTACAATTGACATTAATAAAATTAAAATACCAACATAGTAAAATAGAAACTTAGGGATTAAATAACAAAAATAGAAATTTAAAGTACCAAAATAAGTTAAATTATGATTACCAAGCCATTAGAATAATAAATTATATGTATATAAATATATTCAGTACATAAAAAGGAATATACAAAAAAAAATTATTAAATGCAACGTATTGAAATATATGTATGTAATATGTATATATAAAACATTTATTATACTGGGAAAGCACAAAACCATGACCTACATATAATGATGCGCATGTATGTAAAAAGTATATACTTAAGTAAAGGGCCAAAATACAAGTATGGGGTCATTTAAAAAATGTAAACAACAGGAACTAGGTGTACATGATAATTACAAGGACCAAGTAATACTAATCAACACTTAAAATACTAAACAATAAAGCATATAACCATCAGGGGCACAACAAAGAATTTTAAACAAAAAGAACCAGAAATGAAAATAAACAGATAATCCATGACTAAAATAAAAATAATAATAAAACCAAGGGCTAAATTCTAAATGTCATAAAAACATGAATTATAATCATACCAGGACCAAATTGAAATTCGGGTAAAAGAAAGTGCTCAAAATAAAAACAAATTCATTCATGATCCACGTAAGGCATTCATACAACTTTTAAGGACTGGACGCGCGAATGTACCCTTTTATAACAGCAGGCTGCAGACATGGCACCACTTCTAAAACAGTGTCGTTTTGTTTAAAGAATTAAAATATGGTATTAGTTTGCCCTAACAATATGGCTTATTCATTCCGGCCGCAATCTCCAAACTTCTCCTTCTCGAACTCTCTCGCGGCACAACTCATTTCACACAAGACCAAGGCTTCGTTACTCCGGCGACACACAACCCAACAAAGTAAATACAATCGAAACATTCTTTTTTATTCTCTACTCTAAAAAATCTAACGAAGATAACTCTTATTTGGAACGAAACTCTCCAATCATTCGAATCTCTTCACCCTGATGGCTTTAACTCCGGAAACCGACTCCTCAACTAGGTAAATCGACTCCTCTCTTTGTAGATGCTCGATTTGTCCGGGGCGTTATTTAAATTCAATTGGGTTTTACTATTATCGTTATTAGGGTTATTAGCATAAGTTTGGTATTTGTTAGTTATTAACATGAAAATATATGACATAAAATTGCAATAAAAAATAATAATAATTTATAACATGGACTAAGTATATTTATATTTACTATTACAGGGCCTACACCAGAGTTACAACTAAAACGGGCCAGACCAAACAGGCCCAAGCATAAGAGAACCCTAAAACCCGTTAGGGTTTCCAGCTTCTGGTTCCAGCCGCCGCTCACCCTGGACCGTTGGATCTGCTCCTAATCCAACGGTCTAGATTAAAGGACCATTAGGGTTTTTGCCCTATGCCCAGCATCGCCTTCCACGTCCAGATCGAGCCTCTGTCGACCGTTCGTCTCCACCAGTCAGCTTCCACCGACTGAACAGACTCACAGAGTCCTCCCTGAAGCCCGTGACCAGCTCGCACCCGTGACCTGCAAGCACACCAAACAAGAGACAGAGCACAAAGACAAAAACAAAACAAAACGCAAGAAAAGAGGGTCTTTTTATCAACAGTTATCATCAAAAGGGAGAGAGGAGATTTCAACGAGAAAATACAGAGCCATTTAGGAACCAACAACCAAAAAATCAGTCAACACGAAGCAAAAAAAAAACCATCCATCAGCAACCAAAAAACGAGAGATATACAAAAAACACGACGATACCCAAAAAGCAGAAAAACAACAACAAAAGGAAAGACTCACCTTCCCGGATCCAAAAGCTTTCATCGCCTTTGCTAGGAACCCATACCCTACGGTGAGAAGGTAAAACCCATAGTCACATGTTGCTCTCGAGTCATGGATGTCTGATTAAGGCCGTGGGTTCGTGGGATTTCGAGGATGAGCCCGGTTTAGGTTTCAGATTTTGGGAATGTATTTTGTGAGGGTAGTTTAAGTTAGGTCTCGGGTTTAGGGGTATTTGGTAGGGGTTTCTGTTTTGGTTAGATCCAAGGTATGAGAGATTAAGGTCCTTTATCGGGGCTTGTGTGTGGTGAGGCTGCGGCGTCTGCCTAGGTTAAGGAATAAGAGGAGAAGAGCTTTAGGTGTCGGGGTCTGTTAGCTCTTCGTCGGAGCCCTTGGGTGAGGGAAGGTCACGGCGGCTGGAGGTCTTCGTGTAGGGCTAGGCGAATAGGAGAGAGAGAGATGAGAGTAAAGCGGTGAGGCATTTTAGAAGAGAGGCTGAGAATGATTTTAGGGTAATCGTTTTACCCTAATATTATATATATCTGGTTAGTGAAATGGCGACGTTTTTGGGCTGTACGAAACGGAAACGTCTTGAGGTTGGGTGAGGTAAACTGGGTTTTAAAAAATGAGTTAATATCTGTATAGGTCCTCACAGCTTTGAACCGTATCGTCTTGGTCCCAAATCGAACTTTGCTGGTTTTTATTTTCGTCTCTTAAGTTTCAGAGTATGATATTTTAGACCAAGTGTCTTGTTATGGCTGTTTTCGCGTAGATTTTACATTGGATGCATAGTTTGAGAAACTTTCAATTTAGTCCTAATTTAATTTATTTCGTTACTTTTGAATTTTGAATTTTTGTTTTAAGGGATCGTAAATCAAATTAAACTCAAACTTGTGAAATTCGTTGTAAAGACGTTAATTAATCGACGAGGTACCGATTTAGGGCGCTGTGGGGGTGTTAATCCTTCCTCACTCGTAACTGACTCCCGAACCCATATTTTGGTAACATAGACCGCAAATTTGTTGTTTTAATTAAAATTAATTTTTATTTAAAATGACAACATTTTTTTGTGTCCAATCACACCCTAATCAAAGATTGGTGGCGACTCCTCGAACCACATGTTTTTATCATAAGGGAATTTCCAAATTTTCGAAACGAGAGGTTTTCTAAAATCGCATTTGTTTTTAATTAAAAATCCAATTAAAAAAAGAATAATTAAAAATGACGCGGTTTCTAAAATCTCGCCCCGTACCGTTAAAAATTGTTTCGACAGCTTGGCGACTCTACTGGGGACTTTTTTTTAGAGAGTCAGGCTGATAGTCGATTAATTAATTGTCTTTGCAAACGAAAGTTATAAGTTCATTTTAATTTGGTTTTTGATCCCTTGTTTGTGTTGAATTTCTTGTTTTCATTTTTTTGTGATTTGGTTAACAAATGAATAGTTGTACTAACGTGTGATCTACATGTTTCAGTTTTCTAACCTTTAGTTTGTTGAGTTTCTTGGATCGAGGCAAAGGATTATGAGTTTCCCCACTGTTGCTAAACCTTCAATATTCAGAGCCTTCTAACTGTGCTCTGTCCCATTAAGTAGGGGTGAAAGCTACGTTTACGTGAGAAAAATTATTTTTCTCCGCACGGGCTTTAGCTAGTAACCTCTGGGGTACATGCCTTATGTCTATGAGAAAACATTGAGTTTCCTCGCATGGATATGAGGATATGTATCCTCTCAAATTGAACTTGATTCGTTTTAAGCCTATAATGGGTGAGAATCGAGGGTCTGGTAAGCCCAAGAGGGCACCAGCAAAGGACAATTCGAGGGCCCTGTTAGAATTCTGCCTGTTTTATATCGAACCTCTACCCATTTTTCTTCAAAAGTCGCAGAGGGGGAAACTCATTCTAACCTTTTCCTCGAATTTATTTTTTGCAAAAAGTATGCGAACTAGAGATCATGTGGTTAGGTTTATTTTTTGAGCAAGCATGTGAATTAGATACCATGCGGTTAGGATTTTTTGTGAACAACAAAGCATGTGGGTAGATATCATGTCGGGTAGGATCTACTAAAACATGATTAGGTAGTCAGCATGTGAGGGTAGGTTTTATTCGATGTTCACGGTACTTACTATCTTGTTGTTTATCTTATGCGTACTAACCCATTTTTGTTCTATGTCAATTTTATTGTGCTTTTATTGCATTTGCATCCTCATGTCATCAAGGGGTGTTAATTCGCAAGTGATTGACTAACAAGAAGGCTGACCATATTGAGGCAATAAATTCTCCACTATGTAGTCAAAATCAGGAGATCTAGAGATGTTCAAGTGATCCATGAAGAATAACACCCGATGAATGACGATATCTGAAGCTGATTGAAGAATTCCTTTAAAGCTGCAAAGGACGAGATGTTGACTCAAGAGATAGATACAATCATACCAAGGACGAGAAGATCTTTCACAAAGACATGAAGACTGTTTTGCGTTAAAGTGAAGATGGAGATCCCAAGATTCAATTTAAAGACATCTGACGTCATCAAAGGTGATGAAATACGCCGACAATTTTGGAGGTGCAATTCCAGATCCCAGGAAGAGTACGACTCGAGAAAATGAAGAGATGAATTTGTATTTTGACTACATGGTGTACTTACTGAATTCTTGTTGTCTAAGTGAACGGTTGTTCTATAAGTGGTCACTTTTGAATTAACACCTTTTGCATCCACATTTGCATTCGCATCGCTTTAATTTAAGCATTTTTACATGCATCAATCATGAAAACATGAGAGTAACTCGTAAAGGAACTGTGACAGAGAAATGCTGGGGAAGTCCAAGCATCACTATAATACAATGGAGAGAACCATGGAAGATAGGATTACTCAAATTAAAAAAATTCAACTGCAGTTGCAAGATAATCTAAGGAAAATGCAAGAGGACATGCTTAAGGCTCAAGAAGATATGCTATCTAAGTTGGCAAATTTGTTGGAAGGGAGAAACCCGGAACATGGAAAGGCCCCTGAGCAAATGACTGGAGAACCACTTTATCCTCCAGGGTTTACCTCGGTACAGTCTCAAAATGTCCAAGGAACGTCTGTTCCTACCAAAGTGCACATAGATCCTGTCGACGTTGCTGTGAATCTTCAACCAGGACCTAGTTCGCACCCCGAAGAAAGTCTCTGTCACCAAGTCCTGGACCTTGATAAAGAGGCCAAAAAGAATGAAAACAAACACTTTCGGGAACAATTCGAACAATTAGCAAGTGAAGTTCAGGTTATGAAGGAAGACACCAGTATGTATCGACTGGACGCTAAAGAATTTAGTCTAGTTCCTAATTTGGTCATGCCTCCAAAATTCAAAACTCCTGACTTCAAGAATTTCGACGGTACTAGATGCCCTTCCGCCCATATTACAATGTTCTGCAGGAAAATGACTGGGTACATAGGGGACGATCAGCTGTTGATCCATTGTTTCCAAGAAAGCTTGACAGGCTCAACATTGCGATGGTATAACCAACTAAAAAAGGCTGATATTAGGTCATAGAAAGACCTTGCTAAATACTTTCTTGACCAGTATGAACATGTGAAAGATGTCAGGCCTAACAGATTGGTGTTGCAAGGAATGGAGAAGAAGCACAGTGAAAGTTTCAGACAATATGCTCAGAGATGGAGGGAGGTAGCAGTGCAAGTACATCCACCATTGGAAGAGGGGGAAACAAATATACTTTTCATTAGTACTTTGAAGGCTCCTTTTCTCTCACACCTTATCGGTATTCCTTCATGAAGTTTCGCTGATATAGTTACGACAGGAGAAATGATCGAAATAGCGATTAAAAGCGGGAAGCTCGAGGGAGGAGAGTCCAGCAACAAACTGCCGATAAAGAAAAAAGAAAACGAAGTCACCCAGGTGATCCAGTACGATTCCAGTAACATCACAATGTCCCAATCTCAGGGAACGGTGGCACCACCTCAAAATGACAATAGACAAGGGGCAAGGGACCCGAGGAGAGGGAGGCCTCAATTTGATCCAATTCCTGTGACCTATAAGGAATTATTTCACGATTTATACGATCAACATCTAGTCTCTCCTTATCATGTGGTACCTATACAACCTCCTTATCCCAAATGGTATAATGCTAATGTTAAGTGTGATTACCATGGTGGGAATCCTGGACATTCCATTGAAAATTGCACTGCATTCAAAAAGGTCGTTCAAGCTTTGAAAAGGAGGAATGTTATCAATTTTGGTGACAGTGAACAACCAAAGGTAGCCCAAAATCCATTGCCAAACCATGCTGGAGCCGGGATTAACACAGTCGCTGAAGAGAAAGGTAAGAGGATTGTTATGGATGTTAGTGAGGTGGAATCACCCATGCTTTGGGTATGGTGCCAAATGGTTAAAGTGGGATTGTTGAAGCCTAGTCTATCATGTGACCAGTATAGCAGTGAAAAGGTGTGCCACTACCATAATTGCGCAGGACACAATATACAACAGTGTCATGATTTCTTAAAATTGGTACAAGGGATGATGGACAAGAAAGAAATCGAACTCTTCAAAGAATTGACTAAAAAAGAAAAAGCGGAGATTTGCGCTTCTGAAGGATCATCCAAAGGGATACACAGTGTTGGTTGTCCCATCGTCATTACTCCCAAGAATCAAGTGAATGAAAGGGTAGCTCCTTCAACTCCATTTCTATACAAAGATAATAAACAAGTGCCCTGGAGGTATGATTGTCAAATGAGAGAGGGGGCAAAACAACAAGAAGAAATAAATGAAGTAGGGCACTTGACCAGAAGTGGTAGGTTCTTTTTCAAAGAGCCAGAGAAGAAGATTGCTGCTGAAAAAGGAAAGAATGTCGATGTTCAGATAAAAGAATACGAACTCATTATCAATGAACTGGGGTCGAAGGATGAAACAGTGAAATTCTTAAAATTTTTGAAACTAGTGAGTTCGGTGTTGTGGAACAATTGCACAATCTGCCTGCCAGTATTTCTGTCCTATCACTTCTTTTGAGTTCAGAGGCTCATCGCAACGTCTTGATAAAAGTTTTGGACCAGACCTTTGTCTCGAAGGAGTTACCCACAGAAAAGCTGGAGCTACTAGTTGCCAAAATGCAGGCTGATAACATTGTATCTTTTTCAAAGGATGAGATCCCTTCGGGGATGATTGACAATCATAAGGCTCTACACATTACAGTTAGGTGCAAAGGGCACGTTTTATCCAGAGTACTTATAAGCGATGGTTCAGCGTTAAATGTAATCCCCTTGGTGACTCTACAAAAGCTGCCAGTGGACAGTACCCTAATGAGGAATTGTCAAAGTATGGTTCGATCTTTTGATGGAACAAAAAGAGAAGTGTTAGGCAAGATTGATATTCCTTTAACTATTGGTCCAGCGACATTTAAAGTGGAGTTTCTTGTGATGGACATCAAGCCTACATACAACTGCTTATTGGGAAGACACTGAATTCATCAGGCTGGGGCAGTTTCATCAACTTTACACCAGAGGCTAAAGTTCGTATTTGATGGAAGGCTGGTATGCATTCATGCGGAAGAAGACATTATTGCTCCAGTTCCTGCAGCCCCATATGTTGAAGTGGAAGAATAAACTGTTGAATATCCTTTCAGATCGTTTGACAATGCCACGTTTGTAGCCAAAGGCAAGAAAATCTCAGAGCCTAGATCGTCATACTGCACCAAAACGGGGCACAAACTGACCCTTGGAAGAGGGACCAAAGGTAGCCAAGGGCTAGGACGTCAGTTGCAAGGACCAGTTGGGCCAAATTACCCTATTGCTAAAAGAGACAGGTTTGGTTTAGGGTATCAACCAACTTTGAAGGAAAAACAGAGGGGCATCAAGAGGAATCGGGAATTGAGAGAGGCAAGATTGACTGGTGAAGACCCAAGTTGGGGACCCATGACCTTCCCGCCATTGAGCATCATTTTCACATCAGCAGGGCATGTGTTTTAAAGGACTTCAAGAAGTGGTAAAGTGATGATTGAGAATGCCTTGGAGGATTTTGGCATTAATGTTGTAACCAATGAGGAGTTTGAAGGAATGAGAGCTACAGGTGTCTATCCTGCACCCCCAGGCTTTGTGTTGAACAACTAGACTATGGAGGAATCGCCCTTAGTTTACAAATCTTTTACAGAGTAGCGCACTAGAACTTTTCCCTATTGTTCGTACCCTGGGGCAATAGGGGATCTGATGTAAAGGGTTAAGCTGTGTGTTTTTACTTGCTTTCAATAAAGGATGCATTTCATTGGTCCAAAATGGCAAACACTCTCCCATGCATTTCATTTTTGGTTGTATAATGTATGTATTATTTCTTTCTATTTATTTGTATGGGAAAAGATTCTTCCATATATATATGTATATATATCTTCGCTTCCGTTATTCTTTCAGGAACTCAGATATCAATGATACAAATGCTAATGACTCTGACCCGGAGATTAATTTCGAGATGCCCATGTGTCAAGGAGAAATCGAAGGTTGTGATGACGATGAGTGATGTGAACTACCTTTGGAATTACTGAAGAGGGTGGAACAAGAAGATAAACAGATTTTGCCTCACGAAGAGCTTACAGAGATCTAGAATTTGGGTACGGATGAGGATAAAAGAAGTAAAGATTGGTACCACCCTGTGTGCAGAATGAAGGCAGAGCTTGATAGAATTACTTCCAGAATTCAAGGATGTATTTGCTTAGTCGTACACGGATATGCCATGTCTGGACACAAAATTGGTGGTCCATAAACTACGATAAAGCTTGATTGCAAGCATGTACAACGGAAGCTGAGAAGAATGAGACCAGAGATGCCGCTCAAAATAAAAGAAGAAGTGAAGAAACAATTTGATGTCGGGTTTCTCACAGTGGCCAAATATCCTGAGTGGGTGCCGAATATTGTCCTAGTGCCAAAGAGGGATGAGAAAGTTTGAATGTGTGTCGACTACAGAGATCTCTACAGAGCAAGTCCAAAGGATAATTTTCCTTTTCCACATATAGACACTTTAGTGGATGATATTGCTGGAAATTCTTTGTTCTCATTTATGGATGGTTTCTCCGGCTATAATCAAATTAAAATATACCCTGAAGATATGGAGAAAACAACATTTGTCACTATGTGGGGGACGTTATGTTATAAAGTCATGACGTTTGGATTAAAGAATACTGGGGCAACCTATCAGAGGGCCATGGTGACGTTGTTTCATGACATGATGCATAAGGAAATTGAAGTCTATGTCGATGATATGATTGTCAAATCCAAGACAGAGGAGGAACATATCGAGAATTTGAGGAAGCTCTTTCAAAGGTTAAAGAAGTGCCAACTAAAACTTAACCCAAATAAGTGTACTTTTGGGGTGACATCGGGAAAACTGTTGGGATTCGTAGTGAGCCGAAAGGGAATTGAAATAGATCCCGATAAAGTAAAAGCCATTCATGATTTTTCGGCCCCAAGAACGCAGAAAGAGGTTCGAGGATTTTTGGGGAGATTAAATTACATCGCTCGGTTTATCTCGCAGCTGACCGAAAAATATGATCCCATATTCCACCTTCTTTGTAAGAATGATTCAGGTGAATGGAGTGAGGATTGTCAAGAGGCTTTTGAGGCGGTAAAGAGATATCTTTCGAATACTCCAATCCTAGCGCCACCTATCCCAGGCAAGCCTTTAATTCTTTACTTGTCCGTTTATGACAATTCAATGGGATGTGTGTTGGGGCAACATGATCAAACTAAGAAGATGGAGAGGGCTATTTATTATCTCAGTAAAAAGTTCACTGAGTGTGAGGCCAGATACTCATCAATTGAAAAACTGTGTTGCGCTTTAGTATGGGCTACCAGAAGACTTAGACAGTATACGTTGTATCATACTACCTGGCTCATATCCAAGATGGACCCTTTAAAGTATCTAATGGGTGTACCTGCATTGTCTGGAAGATTAGCCCGTTGGCAAATCCTGTTGTCCGAATTTGATATCCAGTATGTAAGCCAGAAGGCAGTTAAAGGGAGCGCCATAGCAGAATTCATTGCGAGTAGGGCTTCAGAAGAATATGAACCGTTGAACTTCGATTTTCCAGATGAGGATTTAATGGCTATCTCGGAGGAAGAAACAATTGTGCTCACCGGTAAATACTGGAAGATGAACTTTGATGGTGCTTCAAACGCCTTGGGGCATGGGATTGGGGCAATCTTGGTCTCACCAAGTGAAGAGCATTATCCTTTTACCAGTCGGCTCAATTTTGATTGTACAAACAATATGGCTGAATATGAGGCTTGTGTTATGGGTCTTAGAGCAGCTATTGAACTCAAAGCAAAAATGCTGAGGGTATATGGGGATTCAGATTTGGTAATTTACCAGCTTAGAGGAGAATGGGAAACTAAAGATCCCAAACTTGTGGAATATCGTAAATTAGTTCTAGACTTATTGAAGAATTTGAAGAAGTGACTTTCAATTACCTCCCCAGAGAAGAAAATCAAATGGCGGATGCCTTGGCTACTTTGGCAGCGGCCTTTAAGATGAACGAGCATTCAAATATGATGCCTATTGAGATGAAGGCTTATGAGTATCCAGCCCACTGCTTTAACATTGAAGAAGAAGATGAGGGAAGACCTTGGTACTATGATATCTTCCAATATATAAGATATCAAAGTTACCCCGAACAGGCAGCTGAGAATGATAAAAGGACCATTAGAAGAATGGCAGCAGGGTATGTGCTTAATGGTGAGACCTTATATAAGAAAAGCATGGATCAGGTCTTATTAAGGTGTGTGGACAATAAAGAAGTGAAAATGATTCTTGAAGAAGTACATGAAGGAATATGTGGCACCCATGCTAGTGGGCATGTAATGGACAGACATATTATGAGATTTGGGTATTATTGGTCAACTATGGAAACTGATTGCATCAATTATGCCCGAAAGTGTCACAAGTATCAGATTTATGGGGATAGAATGCACACCCCTCCTCATCCGTTGCATGTGATGACAGCCCCGTGGCCGTTTTCTATGTGGGGCATGGATGTTATTGGACAAATTTTGCCAAAAACGTCAAATGGCCATCGCTTCATTCTGGTAGCAATAGATTACTTCACCAAGTGGGTAGAAGCAGCTTCCTATGCAAGTGTTACCCAGTCAACGGTATGTAGGTTCTTGAAAAAGGAAATCATCTGCAGATATGGCTTACCACAGAGAATTATCTCTGACAATGCATTGAGCTTAAACAACAAGATGATTAAATCTGTATGTGAGCAATTCAAAATAAAGCATCATAATTCCACGGTTTATCTCCCAAAGATGAATGGGGTAGTGGAGGCGGCTAATAAGAACATTAAGAGGCTTATAGAGAAGATGACTGAAACTTATAAAGATTGGCATGAGAAGTTGCCATTTGCTCTGTTTGCCTATCGGACTTCTGTACAGACGTCAACTGGGGCAACTCCATTTTCTCTAGTTTATGGGATGGAAGCTGTCCTCCCTATTGAAGTGGAAATTCCCTCGCTCTGGGTTTTATCGGTGGTGAAGCTAAATGAGACAGAATGGGTACAGGCCAAATATGACCAATTGAATCTGATTGAAGAAAATAGATTGAAGGCTATTTGTCACGGTCAGATGTACCAGAAGCGGATGATACGAGCACATGATAAGAAAGTTCGCCCTCGAGAAATCCACGAAGGGGATCTGGTGCTCAGGAGAATATTGCCCATTCAAAAAGATTTCCGAGAGAAATGGATGCCCAAGTGGGAAAGACCCTATGTTGTCAAGAAAGCCTTCTCTGGGGGAGCTCTAGTCTTAACTGAGATGGATGGGTCTGAATTACCTTATCCAGTGAATTCTGACGCAGTTAAGAGGTATTTTGCTTGAAGAAAAAAGAAGAAGGGAAAATGAATAAAAAAAATGAAAAAATAAAAATAAAAAATGAATGAAAAAATGAAAAATAAACAAAAAAAAAGAAACAAAAAGGAGGGTTCAAGATGAAAACTCGAAAAGGGCATTTTGAAACCAAAGGAGGTCTCTAGTCGAGAACCCGCAAAGGGCAACTTGAGTTTTAAATTCAGAGTTCGTGCATGGTCGAGGATCTGAATTGTTTTTGGAAATAGGAAGGGCTCCTGACATGGGTAACGACAATGGCAGTTGGGGTTGAGATAAAAGATTAATGAGTCTCGATGAAGACAACCAGAGGAGAAATTGAATGCACATGAGATTCAATACTGGTTTACGACATCCAATAATGGGAGATTTTGGGGTTCAGAAAGAGCTTCGCACTCTTAGGTGTCATCACAATTTTGGAGATCCTTTTGACAGAAGCTACACTCGAGTCATTCTGACGGCGTGCCAGTTCAAAAGCATTTGTGTTATTGATATTTGAAGACGTCTATCCTTTTGTTCTTTTTCCAATTAAAAGTTTGTCATGTAGTTGCCTAAAAATTCTCTGCATTTATATAAGTAAAGAGACATTTTCCCTTCTCAATTTCCCTTCTCAATTTCCCTTTTACAAGCATCTAATTTTGAAAAAGTTAAAACGCATAGCTTAACTTGTGGTACGTGAGATCATTTTATATTATTATGCAAAAGGTTTTAGAAATGCAGGTATTCTGAAGCTAACAATGGTTTTACCCATAAGCTTGTATGGTTGCGAAAAGCTAAAACTTTGGAATTCATAGACAATCTCAGCCATTAATAGATGACCCAAAAAAATTGTCATTTATCAAGAAGTTGGTCATGTGTACTAGTGGGTTTCAAGAAAGAAAGGAGTCAAAGTCATGTCAAGCCGAAAGTTATGGTTTTGAGATTATCAGATGGGGTGAACTGGTCAAATGTTCTGTGCCCAAGACAAAACCAAGATCCGTCGAGAGAAGGTGTTCCTTTGAAGAAAGTGCATTAAATTGCATAATTGCATACATCGTAGGCATGAATAGGAGCATAGCATTGCATGATGATTTAAAATATCTACAGGTTCCCCACGATCGTTG